TTCTAGAACAGACTTCCTAAGCCTATCAGTAACAGACCTAGCTGCTAATCTACAGACCTAGGGATCAAGTCCTACTGCCCAAACTACAGACTAATATGGGATGTGAAACAGGTCTAGGGATCGAATCCTACTCAGCACACAGTGTCTATGTACAGGTATAGGATAGGTCTAGGGATCGAATCTCACTTAGCACACGGGATCAATGTACAAGGTTGTGGGACAGGTCTAGAGATCGAATCTTTGTGACTGCAATGTCAGGTCAACTGGGTGAAACCATTTCACTCCCGTAGTCCTAAATTCCAGGTCCTCCGAGAACACCCTAACTTAAGGTAGGACCTTTGCCTTTTCTTTCCCTCTCATGGGCGTGTACTATGTCGAGAGCGGTTTCCAAAAGCTCTGTTCTTGTGAACCATCGGTTGTCCTCGGGTTCCTGGTATGCGAACCGAACTTTATACTGCTTCTGGGGACGACCTTGACCTCCTGTCCTAAACACGTCCTCTTCCACTATGTGATCTATATCATATGCACCATCCATGTCTGGCGGAATCATCGATCTCCTAGAAGGGAATCTGTCAGATGTGGTGCAGGGTAACAACTTAGATGCATGGAAGACTGGGTACGTGTGGAGGTATGATGGAATCTCTATAGTATATGATGGGCCGTCCTCTCCTCCTTTGACTTCTAGGATAGGCCACGGTCCTCTATACGCAGGTAAGAGCTTTTGCGCGATGTTTTCCTTAGGTGCGAACTCCTTTGACTTGACCCAGACTAGATCGCCTACCTGAAACTGTGAAGGTCGGCGATGCTTGTTAGCTTGCTCTATCATCCGATGTTGGGCCTTTCTCAGATTGTCTATGACCTTAGAGACTTCCTGCTCATGTTGTAATGCAAACTCTCGTGTGCCGGGTGGTAGCCTGTGTATCTGGTCCCGATTTAGTCCCTCAAACGGTCGCCTTGGTCTAAAGGACTTGTGTAGCTCGTTAGGAGTCCCGCAAGTAGCTAGATGAACACTGTTATTGTAGGCACTTGCTACTTTGGGAAGCATCTCATCCCAGTTTATCTGATCTGGTCTAATATACATTCTAAGTAGCTGCTGCAAGATCTTATTCATCTGCTCTGTCTGGCCATTAGTCTCTGGGTGTCGTCATGACGACATCAACAACTTAGACCCATAGACTTTCATAAGATCCTGCCAATTCTGACTCGTAAACCGCGTGTCCCTATCACTGACTATGGACAACGGCATACCATGCTCGCTTACCCAGAAGTTGAAAAACTTACTAATGACCAAGTCTGTACGTGCCTCTGAAGGCAGGGGAACAAATACTGCATACTTGCTAAACCTATCTACTATGACCATGACTTGAGTCTTGTCGTGCCTACTCTTGACCCCAGTATCCATGAAGTCAATGGAAACTGAATCTCCGGGTCCTGACGGAATAGGCAAGGGTCTCAGAAGACCTAGCGGGGCTCTGGTTGTAGTTTTATTCCGTTGACATACCTTGCAGCTGCGCACATACTCTATGCAATCTGCTTTCATTCATAGCCACGTATAGGACATTATCAAGTTAGCTAAAGTTTCTGCCATCCAAAGTGTCTTTCTGTATCGTGGCATTCCCCTAAGACCAGACTGCGGATCTCTTCACTATTGGGGACACATAGTCTGTCAGCGACATTAGTCTTCTCAAACAGTAGCCCGTCCATGGTCCGGTAGTATGGCTGACTATCTGGGGCTTCCCTTACTCTTTTCAGCAGCTCACTGTAGATCAGGTCCTGTGCATAGGCATCTCTTACTTTCTGTTGCAGATCGGCCCTTATGTCTAGGTAGTGCACAATTGCGCCGAAGTAATCAGATCTACTACTTAGCGCATCAGCTACCACGTTATACTTGCCTTTGATAGGTTTCAACTCAAAGTCATGCTGGTCTATCTCAGCAGCCCATCTAGTCAACTTGGGCGTCATCTTGGCCTGTGTCTTTAGCCATCTAAGAGTCTCGTGGTCTGAGTAAACCTTGAAGTGCCTCCCAAGCAGGTAATGTTTCCAGTGCTCCAGAGCCTGCCTGAGAGCGTAGAGTTCTCTTTCATATGTTGATGCTGCGACTTTCTCTGAGGGCATCCTGGCTGACATAAACTCTACGGGCCTATCACCGTTGTCGTCATCTTGTTGTAGAACGACACCTATGCCATACTGACTCGCGTCTGTAGTAACAACGAATGATAATGATGGATCAGCAACTTTGAGGACAGGGTACTCTATCAAAGCCTTCTTCAATTTCTTGAAGGCTGACATACAATCCTGGTCCCACTTCCAGATAGTCTCTTTCTTCAGAAGTCTACGAAGGGGAGCAACGATCGTGGAGAAGTTCCTCATGAACTTCCTGTAGTAGTTAGCTAGTCCTAGGAATGAGCGCAACTCAGTCAGCGTCTTAGGAGTTGGCCAATCTCTTATGGATGCAATCTTGCTGTCCTCAGGCCAAATGCCATCGCCATCTAGTACATGGCCTAGGTAAAGGCCTGTGTCCTGGCCCATTCGCACTTCTTCGGGTTAATCTTAAAGTTAGACTCTCTCAACTTGCTTAGAATCTGCCGTAGATGGCCCTCATGTTCCTCGAGGGTCTTGCTGAACACTAGGATGTCGTCTAAGTAAACTACAACGAACCTGTCTAACCACGGTCTAAACAAGTCGTTCATGCATTGCTAGAATGTTGTCGGTGCGTTAATAAGCCCAAATGGCATCACTATGAACTCGTAATGCCCATATCTCGTCCTGAACGCCGTCCTACACTGATTGTCAGGGTGGACCTCTATCTGATGGTACCCCGATTTCAGATCTATCTTCGAGAAGTATCTGCATCCCTGTACTCGATCCAACAAGTCATCTATACGCGGTAATGACTTTTCATTCTTAATCGTGATGGCGTCCAGTCCCCTGTAGTCTATACACATGTGAAGCTCTCCCTCCTTCTTTGGGACAAACAGAACAGTTGCGCCAAACGGTGACGAACTAGGCCCGATCCATCCTTTTTCTAGGAGTTCATCTAACTATCTGCGAAGCTCCTCTAACTGCTTGGGAGACATCATGTAGACTGCCCCCTTAGGTGTTTTACTGCCAGGTTCTATCTCTATACGGTTGTGGATTGGTCTGGGCACTACTCCTGAAGGTGCTTCAGACAAGTCCTTATATTCTTCTAGCAAACTGGCGATAGAAGGATGAATTTTTTCCTCTTCTTTTGGCTGATTAGAAATCGGCCTAACATAGGCTACGAACACCTGCTCTTCGAGTTGCTCCTTTCGCACAAGTCAGGCGAATGCAGGAGCGCTGAGGCAGCAATGTGCGAGGGGATTATCTACCCTAGACTCATGGAACAGGCGGACTTGCTTGACTTCGCGTGACGCGGTAGGGAGCCTACACTCGTGCTCTCTAAGGTGCAGTGTGGCTCCTGCTCCCTCTCCCCAATCCGTACCTAGAACAATGTCAAACGGGAGACTCTCTTCCACGAGGTGGGTCAAGGAGTGCAGTACCTTCTCTACCTTCCCATCTTTCTCTAGGTGAAAGTAGGTGTGGACCCCCTCAACATATTCTTCAACACGCATCCTGCTGTTGTTTGCAAGAATGCTGACCACAGGTTCCTCAAAGCGTTGGACTTTCAAATTAAGCTTCAACTTCTTCAGCGCTCGACGACCGATATAACTCCTAGTCGCCTCACTGTCTATCAAGGCACCTACTCTAGCTCTAAATATTTCTACGTCTGTGAGGATTAGCTATCCTTTACCGTCCTTCTTCATCTTGGCCCAAGCTTGCCTCCTCTCTCTTAACTCCTCGGCTAAACCTGTGAGGGAAGCGTCTAGAGAGACCCTAACACAAGCGGTCTCTGGACAACTTACTAAACGCTGGCCTGCAACCTCTACCATGGAGATATGTGGAGTGGGAGACTCTACTTCGCGCGCATGCTCAGATCCACATACTCCCGGGGTAGGGGCAGTTGCGACCCCTACCGGCGGCTGTCTTTTGCTGCCCCAGACGCAACACGGTCCGTATACTTGGGACAAAATTTGATAATGTGGCCTGGGTCCCCGCAGAATACGCATTGAGAACTGTTAATGCGTGCTTGCCATACTCCCTGATCTATACCCTGATCTAGCCACGGTCGGCCCTCGGGCCGGCCTGGGTGCCACCTTCCCTGTTTGGGGGGTGACCGACTAAAACGCGGACGGTTAGGCGGGGAACCTCCCCTTCCTCCCTCTTGGCGGTTGCCGTTGCCGCCAACCCCCTGGCCGCCCTGTTCTCGGCCACCTGGGGCCCGACCATTCCGGCCGGACCATTGTCCTCCTCCTTGCGGCCTCCCTCCAGCCGCAACAGCAGCATAGGTTCTCCCCTGGCCTGCACCGTTGTTCTCCTCCTCCAGTCCCCACTCGGAGTAGGGAACCTCGTCAGCACCACCTTCCTCCATTGTCAAAATTAAACTATCTTTGACCTTGATTTGGCCCAAGATGGTGCGTCCCTTCCACGTTTTTCCCTTTGACAGATCTTTGTGCCAGAACGTGGTAACTGGCGACGCTTGGGCGGCAAATGCAACTGCCTCCCGACTAAGAGTGTCATAAGTCATGCCCTGCTGGTTCTTCTTCTCGAAGAAATGTCCCTGAATGTTCTCAGGGAGGGCGCGATAGAAGAGGTTAAGAAGATGGGCGTCGGTTACTCCGTGCCCAGGGACCGCAATCAGTTCGTCCATGAACGACTTGAGGGCGTGCACACTCTTCCACTGACGAGTGTGTATCATTTGGAGTTTGTCAGAGGCTTTGAGCTCCCGCGTCACATCTGAGAATCGCTTCCTGAGCGACTTCAGGAACTCCAAGAGAGGTGTCAGTCTCGAATACATCACCATATCGTTATCACAGTTCGCAGCGCGGGCTAGCGACCTAGCAAAGCTAGTCGCCTCGTCTCGAAGGGCCTGGAAGGCAACCAAAACATGGTCCTCAGGCGTGACTCCCTGTAAGTACAAGTAGGAGTGCACGTTGGCCTCCCAACTATCGAAATCCTCACCCTTCTTTCCACTGAAGGGTTCGGGAAAACGGACCTTGACTTTCTCACGGCGTGGTGGGGCTGGCTCCTCTTCCTTAGGTGTCGCTAACTTGGCGCCTTCAATGGCGCCAATACAGAACTCTTGGGTCTTACTAATTGCATTGTGGACTTCGGCCAATAAGTATTTCATAATGTCACTCCCAAAATCTTTGAACCCGGCGTGCATTGCATCTACCTTTACTTCTAAACTGCGAATATACTGCGCTTGTTCATGATGTGCAATTAGTAAAGATTGTACACTCTGAGTCAGGGTGTTGAGCTTAGTAGCTATCTCCGTCTCTTCCCTGATTTTTCCCATCCTAGTCTCTACCGCTTTCAGATCCTTCTCTGCCTTTTCCGCCGCTTCCAATCGTCTTACCCTCTCTTGGGACAACCTGTATCTCCATGCCATTTGTTGTTCTTCCTCCTTCGCCTTTCTCCTCATCGGGTTCCTTTCTGTCTCAGTCTACCTCCTTGCTGCTTCTCTCTCTTCCTAGGGGATGGCCATCTCGGCCTCCCTATCTTCCCCGAACTCCAAATGTGCGGCCCACTCTTCTGCAATCCTTGCAATCTCAATTTCTTTGCTTGTGCTCGCTTCCCCTCTCCTTCTCTCCAATGGCTCTTCCTCCTCTACTTCTTCTATTTCTTCTTCTTTCTCCACCTCCTCTTGGATAGCCGCCATCTTTTCCTCCTGCTCCTTCTTCAGCTCCTCCTCCATCTGCCTCTTCTTTGCCTCTTGTTCCTCCAGTAGGGCCAGCATCTTGGCGTGCTTGATTAACTCCCTTTTCTCCATCTTTTCCTTCCTTCCATGCAGAAGGGCGACAACTCTCTCTTCTTGCTCCTTGCTGTAGGGGGTGGTACTAAACCCAGTCTTGGTGGTCACCATGGCGTAAGTGCACAATCAACAACGATTTCGCGCCTCAACACGTAGACCGACCAGGTTATCTCGTGTCTAGGGGACTTCTATGCACTACTTGGGTTAGACTTACGGTTCTATGACCACATACACAGAATTCTACTGACCTAGACAGAAGTGACATGGAGATAGGACTGACTGACTTTGACAGACTTAACGTCAGCAGGTACCAAGGTGAAGGTGCACATCCACGGGGTAAGGGGTAGGCCAGGGCATGGAGAGATGGTACCGGTAATCTTCTTGCTCCAGCTGGGTCGCCGCTCCAGTCAACGGTCTTGGTCAACTCCTCGGTCAACGCTCCTGGTCAACGCTCCTTGTCAACGCCCTGGTCAACTTCGGTCAACGTCCGGTCAACATCCTTGGTCAACTCTCAGTCAACGTTGGTCAACACCCGGTCAACGCCTGTGGTCAACTCCTGGTCAACGTTGGTTAACTCTCCTGGTGAACCGTTCAACCTTCCGACTATAATGGATCTTCTTCTTCGTCAAAACCTTCGTCTTCTTCACCTCGGCTATGGCTGACTTTGTCTCCCTCTTCGTCACTTTCTTCTTCCTTTTCTCTGCGCCTTTCTCTTCTTCTTGCTGGTCGTCTTCGTTCCCGAGCTTGGCAGCTATGACTGTCGTCCCCTTGCTCTCTCTGTCTTCCTCTCTCTTGCAGTCTCTCTCTGTTGAGCTCCGGCTATGGCAGCTTCTTCCTTCTTCCTCGCTTGCTGCAGCTCCGCCGGCGTTGACAACGGGTACCAGCTCCGATACCAATGCAATCGGACTCAACTCTGGACTTGCTCACAACATGCACACTTGAGAACCGATGGCAAACGAAACTCTTCCAACTCAGAAACAACAATGAACTTGCTCTTAA